TTGTCTGTTCCTAGCCAAAGGTATTGCAAATACCATTGGATGGATTGGATCACAGCATATTTACAAGGTGCTGGATGCTATGGTTCATGCAGTAACATCCACCCAACCCAAGTTGCAGTAATAATGTCATAGGATGGGACCATGAGATTGTCTGGAGGACACTTTTGTATCTACCATGCGAAATACAAGATTTAGCATATTTTAGTCATCCAAAACCCAAAGGAATTCCTGACCATAACTAATGCTCACTAGTCCATTGCAGGGTAACCCCCCACTCCAACCAATTATGGTACTTGTATCCGTGGGTGGTAAAGTGTTTTGTCCAAGAACACAACACAGTGACCCTGGCCAGGGTTCAGACTTAGACTGCCCACCACTCTGCTCCTATCACTTAATAAATATCTGCAAGTGTTTAGCAAAATGACTTGTACTTTTTTTAGGTTTCTTTCTCCAACCTACTTTATAATACTGTAGTCTGTAGAGCAGGTTTTCAACAATATACTTGACTATTGTTGCGTGTGGAGTATGGTTTCCTAACATTCAAAGCCTTCAAATAGTAACCATCCACTATAACGGACACAACAGTGATTGGAACATTAAACATCATCTATTTTGCTGTTTGCTGGCTGATTTTCGACTAAGCAAAAAGCACCCCTACGCACCTGTCACAAGGTCTTAAAAAGAAACAACTGCCTCTTCCAGGAATTTATGGTTGCCCTTTTCTTAAGTTTCTTTACCTTTTTTGTCACATATTTCTTGTTTTTGGATGTGGGAGATGTCGAAATGCCGATGAGAAGTTGTTCAAGTTGTAATTGCTAGCCCCTGGGTTATACATACCATAACAATTAACCAGACTGTATTTACTACTTTCCGNATTGGAACATTAAACATCATCTATTTTGCTGGTTGCTGGCTGATTTTCGACTAAGCAAAAAGCACCCCTACGCACCTGTCACAAGGTCTTAAAAAGAAACAATTGCCTCTTCCAGGAATTTATGCTTGCCCTTTTCTTAAGTTTCTTTACCATTTTTGTCATATATTTGTTGTTTTTGGATGTGGGAGATGTTGAGATGCCGGTGAGAAGTTGCTAAAGTTGTAATTGCTAGCCCCTGGGTTATACATACCATAACAATTAACCAGACTGTATTTACTACTTTCCGAAATTTGGCATTCAAAAAACAAATTAAAACAGACTTTGACAACTGGTGGTTTTGTGAAATTACTTTATTGCCCTCTGTTAAGCTTAACTGAAACCAACACTCCAAAACACAAACAAATGCTTTGTAATTCAATGGAAAATCAAATATCCTCTGTGCAACCTTTCTTGTGAACAATGAACTGCTTTAACTTCTTCCATGACACTCCTTTTCATGCAAAAGTTATGTCAACATATCAATTTATAATCAGTCTCAAACTTATTTTAAGGCACAGTTCCCACTGGGAAAAACAGCAAGTAGTACACATATTCAAACATAAACAAATTTAAAGTTATTTTTCTGCAAGGGTGGGTAATAATTAAACTAAGTTTTATCCCTCCTCAGTCCTTGGAGGAACAGTTAAATGGCATCAATGTCCAAGTCATCCTCCTCTTCATGGGCAGCTGCATTGTCAACATGAGCCTTCAGCTGCTGGG